AAATCAGCTGATATGAATATAAGCTAATTTTATACTTTGAAATTTTTCCGAAGTTCTTCATAACTAAATTCATTAGCGATTATTAAAAGAATTCGAATTTTTCTATCTATTCCATTTTTATTATTATTTAGAGATTTTTGAAAACATTTCCAAAATTTATCACTAATATCAATTACATAATTGGATGTAATATGAATAAATCCACTATTATGTAAAAGTTGCAAGGTATTTTAATCTATATTTGGTGTAGAGCTCCGTGACCAAAATTCATACTAAAATATAATAAAAATTTTTTTAGTTTATTTTTAGAATTTTATTATATAAAGTGACTTTCAATAAGAAGCTCTTGATATAAGAAAACTTTCGATTTAAAGAACTTACAATTAAAGTGCTGATGAAATTAATCTTGGGTGGTGAAATAATTTCACTATTCCACCAATCGGTATTGGTGAAATAGTGAAATTGGTGAAATAGTAAAAATAGCAGATGTGAAATTAATTTTACTAATTTTACAATTGCGCTATTTCTAATTTTACAATTTCACTATTTTTATTTCTTATTTATTAATTTCATCAATTTCACAAATTCAATAGTACTTCGATCGCAATTCGACTAATTGAATTGATGGATAAAAATATCCACATTTAATTCGAATTATTGAATTAATCCGAATTAGTCAGATTGTGATCGAAGCACTAAAAAATATTTTACTAGTCCTAATTGAAAATTTTTAACAAAAGCTTTCAATATAAGAAAGATTTTGTCTAGACCCAGTGGTTTTCTTATATTAAGAGTTACTTGTATTATGAATTTACTTCTGATTGGCCTTTTTTAAAGGGTGAAATGTTTGTACATCCACTCGCTTTTAGCATAGTTCTCCAAGTGCATAATTTATGTTCACTAAACACATATTGAGGTGGGTATAATTGTTGTAATTTTTTGCGCAATTCAATAATTGGGCTTTGCTGAGTTAGCCATTCATGGAAAAAGTTTTGCCAGTTTATATTTGAAATTGTTTTTTTCGCAAATAATAATTATATATATTATTTATCACAATTTCATTATTCCATGCAATTGCAGTACAAGTTGGTGTATATTGATTACTAATAATTTTTTGAGTTAATGAATGTTCAAGTCCAAATAATTGTATTCCATGAAATTTTTTATATAAGCCAACATTTTTCCAAACATCATTTGGTGTTTTTCCTAAAAATAAAATTGGGTCATTTTCTAATGGGTAAATTGCAACTTAACAATTATCTTTTTCAATTGTTTGTACAAGTAATGCATGTTTTTTTTTAAATTCACCAAAAAAAGATGACATAAATCTGATACCAGCTCCCATCATATTTATATTATTTCCAATTCCTAAACTAGTTACATAAACTAAATATTTTTCGTTTAAAAGCAAATGGGCGAAATTGAATACTTTCTAAAGATAATTCTAATAACTCATTTTCATTCCACCCTAATATATATAGACCAGAAAATTTAGTTTTTGAGTTTGGAAAAAGTTTTTGATACAAGCTTGTAACTGCTAAACTTGAAGTTGTTTCAATATTACTATAATTACTACCAGTTTGACATCGATACCTGGTTCTATTTTATTATGTTCATGCCCTTCTGTAATATGCATATAAAAACATTTATTATTTTGCTCAAAAAGAGTTTGCCAACCAATTCGAATAGGATAAAGAAAAACACCCTCTTTAATTAAACTATCATTTTTTACTCTCCACCAATAATGAGAATTAGTGCCATAATGTAAACTTGGTATTATTTGACCAAGAGAAATAAGTTTTACACTTAAATAGAGTCTTTTAGACATATTTTAAGTTCGACAAGATTCCGGCTAAAGATTCTAAATATATATAAATTTTTATATGTTAATTATCTCAAATTATTCTAATAAAATTGATATGTAAATCTTTCTATTTCTGGCAAATTATGAATTAAACAATATCTAATGTTGGTTTATATCTTCCTTCTCTTGTTTTTGTATATAGACAATTATATATTGCTTTATCTAGAGTATAAGCTAAAAACAATATTAAAATTTTGGCTAAAAATAGATCTGTTAAAGATATAGAAGATGTTTATACTAAAAATATTGTATATAGAAAAATTTTTGATTAATTATTTTGTAAATATTATATTTAAAAGTATTATTAATAATTTGTATATATTAATTTTTGTATATAGAAAAATTATTAATTAATGTGGCAAATTAAAATAAAATCAGATTAAAATGAAATTTTTTTATTTTTTTAGAAAAATTTAAAATTTTTTTGGAGAAATTTTTTAAAGTTAGGGTTAGTATTAGAGTTAGAGTTTAGAGTTAGTTTTATTAATAAAAGAGTATAAGTAAGTTTTATAAGCTTTAAAGATGAGCAAGA